TGTCTTTTTGAGACAGGGTCTCCCTGTAGCTCCAGCTGTCCTGGAAGTCACTATGTAGACCAGGCTGGCCTTGAACTCACAGAGATCCTCCTGCCTCTGCCTTCCAGTGCTGGGATTAAAGGCATGCACCACCATGCCCGGCTGAGGCTTTTTTTTAAGGCATGTTATTTTTATTTATGTGTGCAGATGCCCAAGGACACCATAAGAGAGCATCAGAGTCCCTGGAGCTGCCTGATGTGGGCACTGAGAACTGAACTCAGGCATTCTGGGAAAGCAGCAAACACTGTTAACATCTAAGTCATCTCTTCAGCCAAGTTTGATAAGTTTTGTATACACACATGAACTTCCCTACCTGTACATCTCAATTGTAGCCACACATCCTTAGAATGCATTCACAGTCGGCCTCAGGAAGATGGGCTTGGGGAAGGGGTTACACAGATAAGCTGGAGAGCTCTAATACCCCAGGCATCTTTAATGTGAGCCTTGTGAGCCTTGAGGTGAGGCATGTTCTCTCCCTCTAGACCAGAGGAAGGTCAAGGGAGGAGCTCCACCTGCCCAACCTGGAGAATCAGACTTTGAGATGAGAAAGTGAATAAGCATGCTGAAGAGGGAAGTAGAATCAAAAGGAAAACATTTTTTGAAGCCAACTGAGGCAGGAGTGCTGGGGCACACCTTTAATCCCAGCACTCAGGAGGCAGAAGCAGGCAGATCTCTGTGAGTTCAATGCCAGCCTGGTCAACATAGTGAGTTTCAGGACAGCTGGGGCTACACGGAGACCCTGTCTCAAAAAAGACCAAAAAGAAACAAACAAAAATTTCAACTGAGTCAGAGTTCCCAGAACTTTCTCCCAGAGTAGAGGCAGGCACACAGCTTGAGAAACAAGGAGAGGGGGGATAGCAGGGACCACCTGATTCATGGCCCATCAGGCTCCCTTTGTTACAGCCAAAATCACTTCCTTCCTATGAGTACCAAACCCAAACTCCTTTAGTTACCCTCTGGGCTATCCAGTGCTCTCTTCATAGTACCTTAGACAAGACATACAATGGTAGAAAACTGTCACAGAAAACCAAAAGCATGCTGAACAGAAAGTCCCCCAAAGGGGGCTTCTCTGCCCTCCACCAGGACAGATTCAGGATTACTACAAGACAAGGGACCCATGAGCTTGGGCCAGGAAGGTCCCATCCTGAAGAGAAGACTTTGAACGTTCTGCTCTAAGATCACCAGACATGCCTAGAATGTTCACCAAAATATAAGGACAGATCCAGGGGATCAGACAGACTGAAGTTCTTAGTTAATACTTTTGATGACATGGCAGAGATTCAAAGACCCTGAAAAATGGTCTCCTGCTGGCCCTTCCTCTCCATCCCCAGATCAACTTAAACAAGATACATACCAAGCGCATAAGCAGAGAAATGGATTCACGATTTCTGGTTTTAAGCTTGTCAGTCTCCTGGCCCAGCTGCAAAAGGCTGACAGAGGCCACCTGCAAAGGAAGCATTTGTTAAGAAGCAGATTTTTATGGTGGTCAGAATAGGACAGCCTCGGACTACAAAAGTTAAGAAAAGATCAAGGAGAAGCGTTAAGAAGTGCTGTGCTGTTCCTGAAGACTTGGTGGTAAAGTGTCAAGTCCCCTCGGATTGAGAGACTGACACACATTGCCTACAAACCAGCCCAGATCCTACTGGCCTGCCAGTGCAGACAGAAAGATTTCGAAGATGCCCTGAGAGAGGTCACAAAGGGCAGGGAAGTACCTAGAACAAAGGCTGGTAATCCTGTGCACCTGGAGATGAATATTTTCCTCAGCAGCCTGGAGATACCTGTCACCAGGCTGTTTACAGCTGACTCCCCACCCCAAAGCCAGGGCTGGACCTCTGATTCAGACACAGTGCTCTGAGTATTTTCCTCCATCACCTCCCAAGTGGCTGTCATCTCCATTCATTGTCAGGCCCCCAACAGATCAACAAGGGAGGTGGAAATATGAGTCACAGCCCAGATTGCACTTAGCAAACAAATAGGATAAGGGGGAAGGGGGGGGTTAGAATCCCCACTCTCAGAAATCAGGTATGAACCCTCTTTATGTTTAAGATGCTTGGAGCCCATTCTGTCTGGTTGGTTGTCCCAGTTTAAACAGAGGCCCTTAAACAACTTAGAGTCCTTGGTATGTACATCTCAGGACGAGAGTATAATTCCTGAAAGAATAATGTGATCTCTTTCCTTCGGGAAAGAGAAAAACAAGCCCTTAGTTTTTAACTCAAGACCTTGCCTTGAAGAAGGTTGCCACTACTGAGAATGCTCAGGCAGGCAGAAGGTAATGAACCGTGAGTCCGAGAGTATGGACAGGAATCCTCCGTGGAGGGTTTAGAATGGAAAACTCTAGGGCCTCTTTCAACTATGGAAGGAGATTGCTTATTCTATGTTTTTTCCAAAGGCAAAACTAAGAACAATGGTGATACTTAGAGTGAGTCAAATCTTGGCTAAAAACAACAAAACAGACCTAACCTATATACAATCAGCTGCCTGGTTGTAAACTCCAGGCCCAGATCCCAAGAACAAGCCTGTCTGGAGAGTTGCTAGAAAAGCTAATGCTCCAAGTGATTCTGATTGAAAATGAAGCCTGAAAACTAGTGAGTGACTGTCAGTGTAGAGTTGGAAAGGCCATTACAGATTATGAAACACAGTGTCTCTACAACTTTCATGTACGTCTGATCTCCTGGAGACCAAATTAGAAACACCGAGGCCCAACCCTGAACATTTTAATTCAGTAGGTCTGGGGTAGAGATCAGGAATCTATTTTAACAAGCTCCCTAGGATATTCTGATATGCGCCAACATGATGAATCACAGATTCGGTTTAATCTCCTTAGTTTATAAGAGAAGAAAACTGAGGTCCCAAAAGTTTGTCTCTCCAGAGGTCGTAGAACTTCACAGTAGCAAAACTCAGATTTTCTTATTGTGCAATGATCTTCCCAAGTTTTTGGACAGGGGCTGAAACGCCAGCTGTCAGGGAAGTTAGAACAGCTCCTACTTTTTACAGAGTAACTGCTCAGTTTTCCTGAATGAATGAGGTGAGAGGTTATATTCAAAAACCCATTTAATAGCACCTGTCCAGGGGCTAAAGTCAAACCCATCCGTTCATTATGGTCTGGACTCACTCACCACCAGAAATTCCTTGAGGTGGGTTTCAATGTTCTTGTTGTACAGCGTGAAGAGGGCAGCAGAAACTTGGATGATGGCTTTGGTCAAGCAGTGGATGTTGTTATTGTAACCTAGGTTAACACGAGAGGGGAGAGAGCCAAGAGAACAACAGTGATCCGCTCAGGCTGGCCCCGGCTGATAATTTTTCATGTTTTTCAGGCTGAACCACCCCAACTGACACCAAAAGAACTGGGTGACATTTGGAGACTAGAAGAAGTATGCTCCTACAACATTTTATTGGAACAGAATTTTATGACTATATCATTCTCAAGTGCTTTTTGAAACAGAAATTTACACCTTTAAAAAAAAAAAGTCCATGTTAAGCCGGGTGTGGTGCTGCATACCAGGTAAAGGCAGGCAGATCTCTGTGAGATCAAGGCCAGCCTGGTCTACATAGCCAGCACCAGGCCAGCTGGAGCTACAGGGAGACCTTGTCTCAAAAAGACAAAAAAAAAAAAGTCTATGTTCCAAGTAAATATCTTTACTTTACCTCCCTCCTCAGGAGACACCTGAATAGCAATGGTCCCTCAGAGGTGCCTCTCACTTACCATCTTTCTCAATACTGTAGAAGGAAGAAGGGTCAGTAGCAAGGAGTGGGAGGGAGACAGCAAGAAAAATCAAGAGCAGGCAGGCCACCTTGTACTCTTCTTCAGGGGATGAGCTGTCTGTGGAGAGAGAAAAAGACATGAGGAACACGGGCATTATCTCCTAGAAGGGTACCACGTCACAGAATCATGGTCACACGAGGAAGTATCTGTGACACGCTTTTTCATGTATAGTAAACAAGTTAGCAAGTTAGTATTACTGAGGGAAGCAGGACTAGCATCCACTCACAGGTGAGACCAAGTCCCAAAACCAACCACCCACCCCTAGTGGCAGGGCAAAACTATTAGCTAGGGCTCTGCTGACATGTATCCTAGGACACCTGTCAGCTGCCTGAAGAATGACGAGGTGGGGAGGAGAAGATTCTCACCAACCAAGAGAAGAAAATGGGTGAATCTGGTAAGTCCAAAGAGCTTAATACCCTGGGGTCTATCCTCTTCTGGGTATGTATGACAATGAACGTGCTAGTCAGAGAAATGTGTAATGGAACATGTAAGAGTGGGCCTGGGGAAGGAGTGGAAAGAGCACAAGGTCACTTCGGGCAACTTGAATACCATATATGCACAACTGTGAAGTCGTCTGCTGTTTGGGGCTGTTTGTTCCCTCATTGATGCATATGTATTATCTTATTTCCCCAACCAGAATGTAAACTCCTCTGAGCACTTACTAACAGACTCTCACTCAGAACTGCCTTCTGGTTGGCTGATCAACTGTTTGTACCCTGAGGAAAACTTAAGTTACCTCTGTGAGTAGTTTCTGGGCTATACCTTGTGTTACCTCCCAGCTTATATCCTCTGAATTCACAACTCCAAATAAAAGCATCTTTAATATTAACATCCTCCACCCAAAAGTGGGGTGCAAGCCCTTCCTTGCCCCATTCCCCCATCTTACCAGCTTTCAGATTGGCAATGGCAGCCACCAGGGCTGGGTCGATGTCACAGCTCACCCCTGCAGCAGATGCCAGCTCAAAGACACTCAGGGTGACCTGATAGAGAAGAAAACAGCTCTGAAGAGGAATCCTGGGGTAGGAGAAGTGATTGGCAGAAACTACAAGTGGCCAGGATTCCTGGGTCACAGCTTTTTTTTTTTTTGGCAAGATTTTATTTATTTTTATTTTATGTGTATTTTATGTATATGAGTGTTTTGCCTGCACGTATGTAAGTGCACCACATGTGCAATGCCTACAAAGGCCAGAAAAGGGTGTTGGAGTTAAGGACAGTTGTTAGCCACCAGATGGGTGCTGGAAACAGAACCCAGGTCCTCTGGAAGAGCAGCCAGTGCTCTTAACCACTGAGCCATCTCTCCAGGCCCATGAGTCACGGCTTTTTAACTTTCAGTGTAGTATGGGGTTTTCTAAACATTCCTTTCATAGCTTTCCTTAGCCTGCACCAAGGGAACAAAATACTTTAAGGGACTGGGGAGATGACTCAGTCAGTAAAGTGCCTGCTTATAAGCATGAGGATCTGAGTTCGGATCCCCAGTGCCCACACAAAAATGCTGTGCATGGGGCCAGGTGTGATGGCACAAGCCTCTAACCACACACTCAGGAGGCAGAGGCACAGGTGGATATCTGTGAGATGGAGGCCAGCTTGGTCTACATAGCAATTGAGTTCCAGGCCAGCTGGGTCTACAGGGAAATTCATTTTCAAAAAATCAGAAAAAAAAAAAAAAGGCTATGCATGATGGTGTGCATTTGCAACTCCTGCACTCAGTCGGGAGGATAAGGAAAAGAGGAAGACAAGAGATCACCCGCACTCATTGGCCATTCAGCCTAACCAAATCAATGAGCGCCAGGTTCAATGAAAGATTCTGTCTCAAAAAATAAGGTGGAGAGGGAGGGGCTGGAGAGATGGCTCAGCGGTTAAGAGCACTCACTGCTCTTACAGAGGATCCGGGTTTGATTCCCAGCACCCACACGGTGGCTACAAACCATCCTTAACTCCAGTTCCAGGGGAATCCGAAGCCCTCTTCTGACCTCCGCAGCACTGCATGACACGGGTGCACTCACATACATGCAGGCAATACACTTGTACACATAAAATAAAAATAATAAAATATTTAAAAAATAATAATAAGGTGGAGAAAGATCAAGGTAGACACCTGGTAGACCTCTGGCCTCCACAAGTACATATGCACACGCATGTACATGCACACACACACACACATACACAAACATACAGAGAAGGGGGGGGAGAAAGAGAGAGCTACCACTTTCTTTCATACTGTGGCCCAGCTCCTTCCTTCCCCAACATTATTCCTTCTCCTCTATTTACATATAAGTAACCTGCATGCCTCAAGCTCAACTCAAGTCTCACCCTCTTTGTGAAGGCCTACCTGGTTCAATCCAAACCCATCTCTCCTCCCTTCCTGGTCCCACTGACCCAGCACTGACCATACACGGCACTTAGAATTACCTGTCTTTTCAGACAGGAAGATATGTAGCTTCTCCCCAAATAGATTTGAAGCTTTAAACATCCTGTGGCATAGTGAAGGCAGTTTGGGAGTGAGCCATATCTGAGCCCAAATCTTAGCAACACCACTTAGCCACTGTGTCACTGTGGCTAAAAGGTGTCTAAACTCTTTGAGCCTTGGTCTTCTCATCTGTAGAGCTGGGATAACAAACTTTACCTCTGCAGAATTGTTGTAAAGATGAAATTAGACCACATGTGTTAAAGAAGTAGCCTAGTGACTAACAGGGAATTGTGTTTCCCCCTTTTATTTTATTGTAAACCAGAACTTTGCATGTTTCTTATCTTTCTAGTCTTTCACACAGGGGTGAACATATAGAAGACATTCAATAAAGGTTGACTAATTGATGCCTGGATCATTGTGCTTAGACTTGAGTTCCCAGGATCTAACTCAAATCCTGACTCACATTCCAAGTACTTAGACCCCTTTTGAGGTTTAGGGAGAGATAAAACTTTAAAATATTCTGAGAGCCAGTTGTGGTGGTACATGCCAGTAGGAAAAGCTGAAGAGACAGAGGCAGAAGGATCACAAGTTTGAGGCCAGCCTGGGCTACACCTTTTGGTGCTAGAGATATGGTTCAGCAGTTAAGAGCACTTACTACTCTTGCAGAGGACATGATTTGGGGTCCCAACATCCACATGGAAGATCATAACAGTCTTAAACTCCAGTTCCAGGGGATCCTGGTCTCCATGGGCACCAGGCACACACATGGTACACACACATACATGCAGACCAAAACTAATACACATAAAAATCTTCAAAATGTGGGGCTGGAGAGATAGCTCAGCAGTTAAGAGCAGTCAGTGCCCTTGCAGAGGACCTGGGTTCGAGTCCCAGCACCCACATGGCAGCTACAAACCGTCCTTAACTCCAGTTCCAGGGGAATCCGAAGCCCTCTTCTGACCTCCGTGGCATTGCACAACACGGGTGCACTCATATATATGCAGGCAATACATTCATACACATAAAATAAAAATAAATATTTTTTAAATCATCAAAATGTTCTGAAAGAACAAGAATTTTCTTTAATACTATACAGCTAAGGGGCACATCTTTATGCAAAGACCCAACAGACACTATAACATACACCTTTGCCCAGAGTACCAATACAGAAACCACCTTCTTCTCTGTCCTTCATTTAACTCCCCCAGATCCAGATGACCCCTATCTGTGGCCACATGCTCAATTAGATCAGGGACCTGGACCATGACCTGTGGTGCTGGAGGAAGAAAGAGATAATTGAAGGAGCCTCATTTTCTCTTCTCCTAATCTTCCTTGTGCCTCTAAGGTAATAACAGACTCTCTTTTGGATGGCCCCCCAACACCTGCTTATTTTCTCAGGCAAGCTGACCCTAAAGAACAGAAGTATCCAGGCAATGTCAGCTCAACAATTTCCTGGCAGGCTGGAGCACTCAGCCTCGACATCAGCAACTGTCAGAAACCCAGACTCAGTATCAAATCAAAACTGCCTAAGAGGACCGTCCAACCCAGTCAAGCATTGCCCCTCAATGCCCCCTACAATCACATAACACTCAGGTGATTTCAGGCAGAAAAAGGATGACACTTCATAATTATTTTGATTCCTAAGTAAGGAAGTTCTTTTTAACACCCTACTTTAATTCTTCCTGCTCACCCTCAGATCAGACCTCTCTCCCTGAAAGCACTCAATCATAAGAGAAGTAGCCTGCCCATCACATTGGAAGGACCTGTCCCCAGGCTTTAGCTATCTTTCCTACACAACACATTTATTTGCACTAGAGGATTCACACGACAAGCTAACTCCAAGGTCAGGGTTGTGGAGACCTAACCCCCATTGCCTGCAGAAGCCCTTCTTCCCCCTCTCTCTTTTCCTCTCTCCCTCTCCCACTTTCCCATACTCATGGGCTCCTGAGGCAGGTGACAGGGGACCAGAAAGTTTAAGAACTGAGAGGGAGAAAAGGCCAGGGGGAAAAAAAAGAAACTCTGAGGTAGGCAGGGTGGGTGGGAAAGGAAGGAACAAATCTTACCAAAAGTACCCAGCTCCTGACTAAAGACGGGACCTGTTTGCATAGAGCTTGGCATCTAATTTGCATATTGCTCATTTCAAGTGAAAACCTACAGATACTACCCTAGATCTCACCCCTCTCCCTCCAGGAATGTTTCCCCAAGCTCCTCTGTTCTGTCCTTTCATTTGTACCCAACACAGCTCCCCAGCTCTGCCCCTGCCCTCTCCAAGAAGATCTGACTGACCCGCTTCCCATTAAGTCCTAGCTCTCTTCCCCACAGGGCTCCCCAGAGCTCTCTCCTCACAAGATCCTAACAACATCCCCTTGTCCTCTCAAGTCTTCTAGCCATGGCTGCCTTTGTACCCCTACCTTCATGTCTGTGTCTGGAGTGACAAACTCCTTCAGGCACTCAATGGGACCCATAAGAAAGGGGCAGTGGGAAGAGAAAACCTGGAGAAAGAGAAGATGAGTGAGTTCAAAACTAGATGGAAGCAGACAGAAAGGGGGCCTTGACTAGGAAGCTAGCCACTTTATAGCTCCCAGTCCCCTCTGCCTGCAGGTCTCCAAAGCTCATCCAACTGCAGGACCTGTGCCCAGGTCAGCCGCCTCTCCGCCATGCTCCCCTTTCCACGATGATTCATGAAAACCCTACCCACAGAGGGGCCCAGGGTCCTCCTTGACTCACCTCCTGAAGTCCCTCTTGGGCCATGGCCCTAAAACTGAGAATCACCCCAATGATGGTCATGCGTTTCAGCACATTTTCAGCCCCTGAAGAGAAAGAGGGTTGTTAGAGAAGAGAACTTGGGAGAATGGGAATGATCTTGCTTCTTCAGGCCCAGCCTAACCCTCAGGTCCCCTGAGTCCCCTGTCATTCATAATGCTTTCCCCATAGTTCCTTTTGGCTATAGGGGAGGGTGTTTACCTGTCAGCTGTGGCAGCAGAGAGGCCATCAAGTCCGGCTTACTAAAATTAGATCTTATCTGAACCAGTACATCCATGTTTTCCACCACCAGCTTCTGCAGCCCATCCGAAGAAGGGAAAGAAGGGAAAGAAGGGAAAGAAGGGAATGTTGGTCTACCAGTTCCCGCCCTTGCCCCCGGGCAGCGCCTTTTCCCAGGCCACTTCCACAGTACCTTCAGCTCTACAATCTGAGAAGTCACATGCCACATGAGGTTTTCACTCAGGAACTTCATGCCATAGGGACCTAGGAGTTCAGCCAAGGCTCGCATCTCTAGAACAGAGTTTCAAAGGTCCTGGTGGGACTCAGAGACACTGGAACACCCGTCTTTGAATATTTAAAATGTTGTCCAGCAGGGAAAGAACGTGGGAAGTTGAGAAGCAGAAATGTGGAACACCTTCCTCTCTTCTCACACCCTGACTTACCACAAATGACAACTATTTACTTCTCCTGTGAGCCTCTACTTCCCAATCCCTTTACGTTGTTTCTGGGTTTTGCTCTTGCTGTACTAGCTGAATTTGCTTTATTAGATATAAACATCTCCAGCTGGGCATGGTGGCACACACCTTTAATCCCAACATTTAAGACTGAGGCAGAGGCAAGTGGATCTCTGTGAGCTCAAGGCCAGCCTGGTCTACATAGTGAGTTCCAGGTCAAAAAAAAAAAAAATATATATATATATATATATAAAACAAATATATATATAAAATATATTTGTAAAAAAAAAAAAAAAACACAGGAACCCTCCGAACCATTTTTTTATTAAGTTAGTTTTTTGAGAATTTCATACACACATACATATATATATATATATAAAAATATATATATATATATATATAATGCATATACATATATAATATATATGTGTAATAAAAGCATCAAGTCACTGAACCTCTCTGAGCCTCTGCTCCTCTGTAACATGAAAAACATCAGAATCTTCCATGAATTTCTCAGAGTTGATGTGAAAGTAAGAAACTGTAATCATATAAACACCTTAGGAAACTAAAGATGCAGACAAGCAAGGGATTCTTCCTGTGGTGGTTACTAGCAGCCCACTGAAGTGTGAGGCAGAGGCACTCCAACGCGGCCTTATGGGGAAGGAGTCAGGTGCTCGGCTAAGGTCAGATAATCGAGTGCAAGTCCAGAAACCCAGTGCAATGCCTTCCTGCTTTACTTTGTCCGCACAGAGGTAGCTCCTCCTTATCCAGGCTCTGGCTTTCTCAGTCTCACTCTTCTTCCTTTATTTAATGCCTCACTGGCCCAGTTTCCCCTTGAGCTGCCTTTTCTTTTTTCATAATCAAAACACATTCTCCAGAGTCTTGGTTCTTTTTTGCTTTAAATTCTTTTATTGTTCCTAATCCAGTCTTCTCCGATGCCTTATCCCTTCCTGCTCAGCTTGCTCTTGCCCTTTGTGAGTCCCCGGGCTTGCCTGGAGGATCCCAGGTTGGAAACCCAGGTGGCAAGCTCAGACAGGAAGAAGCTCTAGCTGTGATCTTTGGCTTATGCGCCATTCTAAAAGGGGAAACCATAAAAGACCAGAGGTAACAAGAGAGAGCAGAAGAAAGTCAAGTTCAACATCATTAATCAGAGTTCAGAAAGAAAAGGAAGCTGGGGCTCCCGGCAGGAGCCCGTCGGTAGTCATCCACCTCCATCAAATACAGAGGAAGTAGGCCTGCTCGTAGCAACTGATGCAGAGCCTGGTCCAAGGGAGATAGTAGACATTTGAAGACTCTCCTATTTACAATCATAGGACTGAGCTGAGAATTGTAAAAGGATCTTCTGAGTTGCCACCTTAGCTAACTCAGCTAACTCAGCTGCCTGAGGGGAAGATGGTCAAAATTGCCTTCTCTGGTGCTAATGGAGAGGCAACAAGGCCTTCTGGTCTACTGGTTAGATCTGCAAAAAACCCCTTACTCCAGTCATCTCTACCCCAGTTAGTAACCCTAGGGCATCCTTTTCTTTATATCTATCTATTTTTGCAATAACATTGCCCCATCACCATGGCAACCCAGGGAAATTGGGGTGGGGGTGGCGGAAGGGGTAATGTGCACTGCCTCCCGCTGCTTGTCAGTTGTCAGCAAGACCTAAAGCAGGTTTTCAAGGCTGCCTACAGCTTGTGGTAGAGCTGCTGAGAAGGGGGCATCTGAAACCTCCAGTGGGCAAAGCACAGTCTGCAAAGTGACAGAGCTCAGGGCATGGTAAAGAGGCAAACCTAGAAAGCAGAGCTGTGCACTCTGGCTTCCTTGGCATCCCCAGAAAAGGCAACTGGAGAGGCCTGGGTCACTGGACACCTCTGTCTGCTCCAAGTTCCATCCACAACCCATCATTTACATGGAGGTGAGAGGGTCCTGCCTGAATCCCCAGTTGGTAAATAACTGCTAAGAAGGAACTAGGGGGGGCTAGAGAGATGGCTCAGCAGTTAAGAGCACTGACTGCTCTTGCAGAGGACCCGGGTTCGACTCCCACACCCACATGACAGCTATGAATTGTCCTTAACTCCAGTTCCAGGGGAATCCGAAGCCCGCTTCTGACCTCCGTGGCATTGCATGACACAGGTGCACTCACATACATGCAGACAATACACTCATTCACATAAAATAAAAATAATAAAAAAAAAATTTTAAAAAGAAGGAACTAGGAATTATATGGTTTCAAGCCTCCTTTAAAAAGGGAATGGCTCAATGACAGAATGTATGAACTGCAGTTGGGGGCTATGGGAGGTGCCAAAGGGGAAGGGGGAAGGGAGTATAAAGATGATTTTATATGTATGAAATACACAAAAATTCAGTAAGTTTTTTTTTTAAAAAAAGGAATAGCTCTTGTACTCACTACACCTCCCTTGCCTGTACACACACACACACACACACACACACACACACACACACAAATGCTGCTCTACACTGACTGGGGAGCAGTTCCACACTGTCTTGACCTGAAACCCCACCCCAGTTCCTCTAATTACAGATGTGTTGGATGTGTTGGATGTGTTTTGGTTTGTTGTTGTTGTTTTGGGTTTGTTTTTGTTTTTGTTTCAGACAGGGTCTCCCTGTAGTCCCAGCTGGCCTGGAACTCTCCATGTAGACCAGGTTGACCTCAATCTCACAGGGATCTGCCTGCCTCTGCCTTCCAAGTACTGGGACTAAAGACACGTGCCACCACACCCAGCCATTTACAGATGTATGACCTTAGCATCTGTAACCTCCTGGTGTCTCAGTGACTTCATCTGAAAAATGGGGATAGCAAGAAGAGCTGGTTGAGGGCTGAGTTCCATGTGTAAACACTCATTTCTCATCTCATCAACACCGGCCGAGGAGCTGAACATTATCCCTGAGGACAGTGCCAGGACATCAGCTCACCACTTAATCATTCCCAGGATAAGAACTCCTGCCTTGCACTTTGAACCAGTCACTGTGTATGCTGCTCCTGCCTTGTGTGTAGAAGAGGAGAATAAAAATCAATCCCTCCGGTGACTTAACTGGTCCTTCCCAGCTCCTACACCCCTTTCTGCCATCCACCCTCAGCCCACTCTTCAATCCTGGACCTTGCTGAGAATCTTTTTTTTTTTTTTAATGTGTATGCGTGTATTGCCTGCATGTAGGTAAGTGCACCCATGTTGTGCAATGCCCACAGAGGTCAGAGGAAGCTGTCAGATCCCCTGGACTGGAATTACAGTTGTTAGCTGCCATGTGGGTGCTGAGATTCAAACACAGGTCTTCTGCAAGAACAACCAGTGTTCTTAACCACTGAGCCATCTCTCCAGCCCGCTTAGAATCTATTTTATGTGTTCCAAAAGTCTAGCAATGTCCAGCAGAGGCACCAGGAGAGTGCCAAATGGGCTTCTGGGAAATCAGGAGAATTTAGACCAAGGTACTGTTGTAGGGAAATGTTCAGCAAGAAGACCTAGGCCCTGAGCTCACCAGAGATGTCAGAGAACTCCTCAGCACTGAAGTTCTGCTCGCCCTCTCGGGGAAGGCTGATGAAAGCCTGCATGGCTGGGGAGAGGACGATGGCTCCACCGCTTGCCTGTCTGAGGAGACTTTCTAGGTACCTATGGGAGAAAGGGGACAAGGAGGCACAGGTTAGTGTTCAGTGCCTTCCACACCACCACCACTGGAGTCAGGAAAAAAGAGCCAGAGTCTGGAATGGGGAGGAAAGACTGAAAGAAAACAATACAGCATCTAATCAACTCACTAAAGCTGTTGGGTCAGAAAGAGGAATGTGATTCCACTTGGCCTCTAATCTGCAGGTTTTCCACTATACCTCAAATACAACGTCAAGCACGCCCCTCTTCAGTCCTGTTCTTCCAACAGTTGTATTGCCCTTGTCCGTACCCTCTGTCAGGTAAGACAGGCTCTACCTGGCATTAAAAAGTACTGACTACATTCCTCTGAAATACACTTAGCCACCCTCTCCAGTAAGAAGGCTGGACCGAGGACCAGGATCGGAAGTCGTCAAACCTCTGGCAGACAGGAGCCCCATGAGCACCATCACTCTCTCTGCCTGACCTCTAGCCAAGTCACAGGGGCTGGCTTGTGTCTGCAGAGGACTCAGCGGTCACCCCAGCGGTCATCCAGCACCAGCTCTCTATTTAACAGACATCATGGGCTAACTACCAGCGAATCAAACTCAGCTCCCAAACATATTTTTTCATTTAGCTACAACTCGTTGTCAACATTTTTAAAACTGAGATAAAAAATATTTTAAAATATTTTTAGTAGGGCAGCATTCAGCGGATACAAGAGGTGGCTGTCCTCTTTAGAGGGGCAATCCTGCTGTAACCACTCAAAGTTCAAACTGGTAACAACCATCCACCTCACCGGCCTGAGCCCTGGGGCATTTGCATTTGGAAGCAGTTCCCCGACTCAGGGACTTCTTCCCAGTGTTCTGCCAAGCTGATAGTAGATTTAGAGCACCACCCAGTGGCTTGGGGAGGTAGGACTCTGCCTCTTGGAGTAGTCATGCCTGAGAATGGAGTGTTCAGGAGACAGCATGGTCCTCAGAGGGAGGGCTAGGCTAAAAGAGAAATAAGGATGGCAGGAGGAGGCAGTATGAAGAGCCCTTGCAACAAAAATAGTAAGAATCCAAAAAAGGAACGTTAGGGCCTGGATATTGTGATGGATAAAGTCAAACAGCTGCAGGGTCGACACAGTGGATGTTGTACAGGCTACGAGGAAGGTCTGGTGGACAGAAGGGGGCCTGGATTTGCCCTGCTCATTGCTCTGATCCTTGAGCACAAACAAGCCTCCTTTTGGGGTTCAGTGTGACCCCAAAGGCTAAATACCTGGGTCCTGAGGTCCTACTGGGTAAAGAAAAAAGTGCTACCAGAGGTGAGATGGTGGGAAGGAAGGCACACTGACCAGTTTGTGTAGAGAGTAGTGACAGTCTGTTCGCCACAGGAGTCCAGTGGCTGTGTCTGCTGCAGGAGGGCGTTGCGGACGACTCTGGAAGCATCTGCACCCAGAAACTGCGCCAGTGACTGAATAAAAGTGATGTATGCTTTGACTCCTGCCAGTAGCTCAGAAGGCCTAAGGATCTCCTGGGTTGTGGCATTGTAGCCAGCCAGCCACACGATGGCTCTAGGTGATGAAAGTAATTACAATCATAATGGTAAACACAATGCGGATCACTGAGTGCTGTGTTTCCTGTGCTACAAGTCTCATTTAAACCCTGGAGCAACCCAGAAAGGCAGGCATCATTATCCCCATTTTGCGGATGATAAAACTGAGACAGAGATAGTAAATCACTCGTTGAAGATCACACCTCTGGCAGGTAGCAGAGCTGCGACTGAGGCCCAATGACATTTGATCCCTAACCATTTCTTTCTCTGGAGAAATTAGGTCAGCTGATAAAGACCTGAGCTCCCAAATGCCATCTGACTCCAAGGGCAGAATTAGTCCCAACTTGTGTCAGGAATGGAAACCCGTGTTTAGAAATCCTTGGAAACACAGTGTAGTACCCTGTGGACCCTGGATACTGGTACCGGTTAGAGCACAGAGGCCAGCAAGCAACCATAGCCAACCTTAGAGAAGACAGAACAAACGTCCACTGCCTACAGCTGCCCATTCCTACCACAGTCCTTCCCTAGGAGCTGAGAGTTCTCATTACATCCAGCCTTTGACTTCCAGCTCTTTTCCTGTAACTAATAAGGAAAAGAACATCTTACTTCAGGGTGTGTCGGTCATCGGACCCTTGATGTAAATGAGTTCCTCAGAGTCTTCCTAAGCCACAGATGTCTGAAGTTCTGTTTGTTTGGTGTTTACGGCAAAATATTTATGGTAGAAGGGAGCCAGGAAATGTTGCTCCCCAAATGAAAGGGAATTTTGGAACCCTTGGACCACTTGAGGGGAAGTAATGTAGAAGGCACAGGCAGAGGGCAGGACTAATCAATATTAGAGGAGTTTATTTATTTTATTTTATGTACATAAATGTTTTGCCTGCATGTAAGTACACAAGTGCATGAAATGCCCATGGAGGCCAGAAGAGGGCATCATGGAACTGGAGCATTAGCTGTGTAGGTGTTGGGAACTGAACTGGGTCCTCTGTAAGAGTAGTCAATGATCTTAACTGCTGAGCCATCTCTCCAGCCCCAGTATTAAGAGTTTTTAGCCAATTATGGTGGCACACAACTGTAACACGAGCACTCAGAGGCAAGAGGACTGTGAGTTAGAGGCCATCCTGGGGCACATACTACCTAGGGACCCCCTGCCTCAAAAAAAATAAATAAAGGCCAAGCCTCTAGGAAAACCCTGGAGCTTTGGGAATCACAATCCCGTGTAGCAGTAATCAGAGATTCCCGGAAACTAGCTGATCACACCCTAAGCCCTCCAGGGCCTGGAAAGCACCAGCAGCTGCTGAAGGTGTGCACATGGGCAATTACCACTCTGTCGTGTCCTTGATGTATGCTCAACTGAAGCGCTTCCCCCCATAGAGCTAATGTGTATGGAACGAAAACAAGCTAATTCTACTTCACCCGAGCAAAACGCTAATTGAAAAAATAAATCCACATCTCCTGCAGTCACAACACAGACTCAACCTCTTCCTGCTTCTGTTCTTGTGTTAATCAGCCGGAGTGAACTGTGGGCATTCCTTACTTCAGCTCTGCTGCAAACCAGGCTCCCCATCTCAGACACAGCCCAGTCCTTACAGTGCTGTAGAAGCCTGGTGGCCTGCCAGCTCTCTGCTATGCAGCCCATGCTTGCCCAAGCTCACTTTGCAAACACTGCTCCAACACAGCAGCACATCCCCACTTCAACCTTGCAAATGCTGTATCTTCTGCCTACAATGCTTGTTCATGGACAGTCGCATACCATATCTGGCTTCTTATTTCCTTGGTGACATTACTCAAATGTCACTTTCTCAAAGTGAACACCCTATCTAAAACTGCAGCAACTCCCGCCCCCCGCCCACGAATTCTTCCTACTGTATCCGGTCCCTGCTTTATCACTGTTTAGCATTTATCACTAATCTTCCTTGAATGCTACTCTCCTAAGTTGTTAGTCTGTCTTCCCTGCTGCTTCATGGGGCAGGGATTGCTATGCTTTGTACACAGCTTTATCAACAGCCTCTAGAACCCTCCTGACACACAATAGGTGCTCAATGAATAACTGTTAAATGAATTGCCACATACTCCAAAACAAAACATAAAATAAAGGATTATTCATAATAACTCTTCCCCACCCCCTAAAGGCCCACAGCGCCCAATGCCAACAGAAGGGACATCCCTCCTCCTTTAGGGAACAATGAAATGAGGGGCAAAGTACAGGAGGAGAATTCATTTAACTAAGGCTTACTATATCAGGAACTTCACAATCACAGTAATCTGTATTTGCCAACTATCTTCAATTGCAGGTTATTCACCATGATCCATAAGGTAAATATCATTATCCCCACTTTATAAGGAAGGAAACTGACTCAAACAAGTTAGATAATCTGCTCCATTGTTGTAGCTAATGGTCAGGATGTGGGCAGGGCTCTGCAGTCTCAAAGGCTCTGTTCTTTCCCACCACCACCCCCCATTCTTTTTTGAGGCAGGGTCTCACATAGCCTAGACTGGCCCCAAAGACATGTCACTCTGTAACCAAGAATGACCTTAACCTGATCCTCCTGCCTCCACCTCCTGAGCACTGGCCTTAGTCTGCTCATTCTACCAAACAAGGGGCTGGACTAGCTGCTCACCAAATCACCCGGAGGAGGAGCTCTTTCTGTTCTTTCACAGAGGTGTTTGGGACCTGTGCATCAGAATCTCCATCGGTGGCATGACCACCATGATGGATCTGATGGAACCCATGCCGAAGGCTGCTACGGTATGCAACATGACCAGAAGAATGCTACCTGTTGAGTCTGGCTTCCAGGTGACTGCTAAGATACTCTGACGGGAAGATGGTGTGTTCGAACACAGAGAAACTAGATACATGATTCATTGCCAGTGCCAGTTCGGTCAAGTTTAGATGTAGTTTGTCCATGCTGGAAAAAAAAAAAAAAAAATGAGCCTTGATTATAGGTCTGGTGCTGTCTGTTGGTGTCTGGAAGGAAGGAAGGGTCAAGGCTGAGTTCTTCAGACCCCTAAATCCCCTGGGGGCTACTCAGCCTGGACCAGTACACACTGATGTACTGCAGAAACAAAGTAGGAGATCACACCTGTGTGCTTTCCCATACTCTCATTCCTACCCCACCACTCTTTGTGGTTCCTGAGCACCTTCCCTCTTTCCTTTTCTCCCTTCCTTGACGCAGCACCCACTTGGCCCTTCGGGGGCCCAGGTCCTTACTTGGTGACAATGCTGCGGTTCTTCCGGTGACTCTCAGCTCCTGGTTTGTCCCTCTCAGGCTCCCCTTTCCTAGGAGCCTGCCTCTGCTTCATGGTCTTCTTGTTCTTGGCCTTGCTGATGGTGGTGGCACAGTGCTTGGGCAGAAGCTTTGAGAGAGGCACAGAGAAGGGGAGACACAGGGTCATTGCTGACAGCTATCAGAAGGACTCTGTTATCATCAGCTTCTCTCTCGCTCACTCTCACTCCTGCTCTCTTCCCTCACCCTCACTTCTCTTTCTCTAATGAGGGCTTTTTCGAATGTGCTCACCCCTTTCATAAGTATCTCCTCATGTACAGCTCATGTACAGCCTCAAAGTCCTAAAGTGGTGATGTATTTCAGGGAGCAGAGCATTGCTCCCCTCCCCCAACCCACCCGCCCATCCTGAGGCCTTTCCTAATAGGAAAACCTGAGGAAACAGCAAAATCTGAGAACTGCACTCGCCACGCTTTGTAGGGTCTTCTGGCATGGGAAAACAGTGCATTTTTGCTAGATAGAACAAACCTCTCACTGGCTGCAGTTTTTCAGATGCTGTCTTATATAGATATTTGCCCTCCAAAATCTCAAAGTTCACATGTATCCAATATTCTCTCCCTGTTTCTTCTTTCAAAAAAATATATTTCTTGCTAGCTAGCTCGCACATGAGTCCTTCATCTCTTCTCTGCTCCAGTTATCCAAACAGAAAACACAAGACATTGCTGAACAGTCATGCATTGCCTTAGGGAATCACCTTAGAATTACTTTTAAATCGAGGTAAGTGTCACACAAGAACTTGGAAGGTAGAAGCAGGTGGACCTCTGTCTATATAGTATATTCCAGGTCAACCAAAGGATACACAGTGAGACCCTGTCTCAAAAAAAAAAACCACAAGAAAACTAGCTTTGTTACTTTGTCACACCTTCTCTTCTTAAATCCAAACAGTTGCATTAAAATCATCTATTCCATTAGTAATGGCGTAACTGTTACTCAGAATGTTATCGCTGCAGGGAGCACTCGTTCAGTTGAAGCATTTCTATGTGCAAACAGTTATTCACACCAGGGCTTGGTCCTCACACAGCACTGAGTAATCCTCTACCTGCTTGTCGGACATACTTATATTGAATGAATACAGCAGCAGTGAGCTCATTTGCATATCTTCTGTACATTAATCAGTTGCATTCTTTCAAACATGTATTTGTACTTTTCTCTTAAACTCAGACAGTCCCCAAAGCAGGGATCAGGTGCCTTCATTCTTGGTCCCCACCCTAAACTGTGGGTCTAATGAGTTGGTATCCGTAAGCTCCAGATAATATAAGAGCTCACATTTTTATTTTATTTTTATTTTATGTGTATGAGTGTATTGCCTACATGTACGTAAGTGCACCTGTGTTCATGCAGTGCCTATGGAGGTCAGAAGAGGACATCGACTTCCCCAGGAACTGTCGCCATGTGGGTGCTGGGAATTGAATCCAGGTCCTATTCAAGAGCAGCCAGTGCTCTTAACCACAGAGCCATCTCTCCAGCCCCAAGAGCTCACATTTATTAAGTGCTGTATACTAAATATTTAATGTATTCTATTTAACTTAATCCTTATTACACTTCTGTGAGGGAAGTATTTTTATCCTTACTTTATACTTAAGAAAATGAAAAGATTTAGTAATAATACAACTGTGTATCTATACACCCACATTTATACACACTGCATATGTACACCACACACACACACACACACACACACACACACACACACACACTGTCCTCACCTACCAGCTGCTACAAAGTCTGACTCAAAGACAGGAAGGGTGGGTAGTCTGGGAATTCTAAGGCTCCAGAGCAATAGCAAAACTAGTTTGTCATTTTCAATTTTCTGAAATTTAGGTTGAGCTAATCATGACCAGGTGCTGTGAGTCAATCAGGAAGCAGAGAAGAAACCAGAAGGTACAAAAGCAGCTGTGAGGATCCACACCGAAGTGCTTGAAAACACCCGTTCAGCTGCGGACTGGGACACAGTGAACAGAAGGATGGGTCAGGACAGGTGATCTGGGGCTGCGTCCTAAGCATGTGTGTACCAGGCCGAGAAGAAAGTTAATTCACCTCCCTAAACTCTTCAACTGGGGCCCAGATTTTGCTGCAGTACAGCAGCTCACTCAAGTAAGAGTGCTTTCAGGTGCTTCCATCCACTGGGCGTGTGCAACCCATGCTCACAGGCTACATGCAGCCATGGGTAACTATGAATACAGCCCAGCACAAAATCGTAAACTTACTTAAATCACTGAGATGTGTGTGTGTGTGTGTGTGTGTGTGTGTGTGTGTGTGTGTGTGTGTGTGTGCGCGCGCGCACGCGCGCGTTTTAAGCTGGCTGTGGAGTTCTCAAGCATGAATGAGCTTGGAAGATGGCGAGGTCGTGTCACCATGTGAAAAAGTTGGATACACCTGATTCTAGTCCTAAGAGACCAACGAGTGAAGTGTCTACACTGAGAGAGAACTTCCAAAAGCCCTTTCCTTACTTGAGAGGAATTTAGCCTGTGAGAGAAAAAAGGGTGGCCAGAGATGAAGGCAGAGAGCGAGAAAGGGGACGGGATGGGGCGGGGGCCACCTGCTCGCTGAGGTTCCGCTGCTCAGCACAGATCTCCAGCACGCAGTTGCTGGTCTGCTTGGCCAGCTCCTCCAGGAAGGAATTACAGTGGTGAAGGCCATGGTTCTTCAGGTGGGGGTACTGTGGGAGAGGACCAGGGAAGAAACATCATATGACGGCATTCCTCCTCCCGACACTGCTATCACCCCCTTGCCTGACTATCCTCTCCAACAGAAGGAGAAACTGAGGCCAGGAAGAGAGAGCACATCCTATACCAAACTGAAATGTCTCAGGACTCACACCTCATACTTACACACATGCTCTCTTTCTGGGACCAAAACCAACCCCTGGAACTGTGTTCAGGAGAAAAATGACATGGAACTAGAGAAATGCCAGGATGGGCAGTCAGTATACCCACCTCCTCAGGACACATCTCATGAGTGCAGTGGGCAAAGTGAGCGCAAATCAGGGGGAACGCAATGGCGTAGCGTAACATGGTAGGTTCTTCCAGGGTCATAGCAAACATCTTCTCAAAGGTGCGGAGATGAAAACTGTGGAGAAGAGCAAGGACACTGAAAAGCCGGGTTTTGAAACCAGACCTTCTGACATGGAGATAATGTTCACTCTTACAAAAGGTAATTGTTTTACAGTCAGCACACCCTCCTAATTTCCCTACCCTGGAAGCAGAAGGGAACCAAAGAAACTTAACCTTTCCGACTCTCACACCGGACTCCAGGGCAACTCAGTAAGAACCATCTTCCCCTTTGCACAGAATTTGCAATTCCTCCCTCACAACCATCACCTGATCTGGGCCACTGCCACCCCTAATTTAGAAGTCCAAAATTCACATCCCCTCCTAATAAAAGGACACTCAGACTACCGTCTTAGATTAATTCCTTGAGACTGATTTTTCCTTCACAGGTTTGTGTCTTTAACATATGGATATTATATCTCCCCATTTATACTGACTGCAGGAGTGGCATGTCATGTTTTGATTTGTTTCTTTGATCTTTCAAAGAGTAGAGTTATATACCATAGTGGTCACCTAATTAATGCTGAGGATCATCTGTAGAAGACAAACTACATGTTCATTCTCCGATGATTTTCACTTTCCCACCATTAAATTCTCATGACTTTCACGTTCCTTGTTTCATTTTTATTTTACTGCTTTGACATAATGTCTCACTCTGCAGCCCACACTACCCTAGAATTCACTATATAGACTAGGCTAGCCTCAAACTCACAGCATTCCTCTGCCTCAACCTCTCAAGTACTCATATTTATTTGTTTGTTTGTTGAGGCGGGGTCGCCTATAGCCCAGGCTGGCCTTGAACCCAAGTATTACCTTGAACTCCTGATCCTCCTGTTTCTACCTTCCAAGTGCTTACATTACAGATGGGTGCCACCACAACTGGTTTCGTGTTTCTTTTAAATCACAATGTCAGGACTGGAGAGATGGCTCAGAGGTTAAGACCACTTGCTGCTCTTCCAGAGGACCCAAGTTCAGTTCAAATGGACTGATAAAGAAGGCAGAATCAGCCAGGCATGGTGGCACACTCCTTTAATCTCAGCACTCAGAGGCAGAGGCAGACAGGGCTCTGAGAGATCAAGGCCAGCCTGGTCTACATAATGAGTTCTAGACAGGTGGGGCTACAGAGAGACCCCGTCTCCAAAACAGAAGCCAGAACCTGGACTCACCAGAAAGTTGACAGGTCAGAAGTCTCCACCAGCACTTTATCTACTGAGTCCAGCATCCGGGAGTGAAAGACGATGAGGTTCATCACCTTGGCTAAGTCGGGGTTCTCATGAAGGTGCAGGGGTGCCTTCGCCACACTGGTGTAGGCCTATGGAGTTGTTGGGAAGAGAAAAGAATACTAAATGAGATGGAGCCGCAGCCCGGGACGATAGTTTGGTCTAGGTGTGTTCTGGCTAGTCAGCAGCTCTCAAGGGTTACTTGTTCCGCACCGAAGAGCTTAGGAATTAAAGATGGGAGAAATTAAAGACACTTGTGAAGGAGGAAGAACCTGAGGATGGGGACCGCCAACAGGACCAGACCCTTACCTGTAGGCGGAACCAATCCAGCCTCAATCCAAAGAAGTCAAATTTTTCTTCATTATCAACTGTAAGAAAAACAGAAGCAATTATTACACAGCACCTAGCAGGTGGCCGCAAGGAATGCTAGGCCTCCTCAGAGCCATCTTGTCCCGTGCTCTGCCTCACAGACCAGTACTTCTAGACAAATCTGTTGACCCTCACAGGAGCCCTGCCCCCTTCTCTTGCTCCAGCTACCTTGCTTGAGAGTCAGAGAGGACAGGGTGCTGACAAACGAGGACATGATGATGGACTCCTCCTCTGGACACACAGACAAGTTCTGCAAGAGGCAGGGAAGGTGGTCAGTTCATGTGGGTTCCACAGCGGAAGGTGAGACTCAGGTTTTAAGGAAGAGGAAATGCTGGCTTCGGAAAACAGAAAAAGCCAAGCCAGGGACAGGCAGAGCTTCCTAGGGCCCCTGCCACGTAACATCCAGTTTCTCTTTATTTTCTCTCCCCTCGTTACATAGTTTCACTTAGAGAAAAAAAATGTAGATTATTCATCTTTTTAAAACAAATATAGAAGGGGAAATCAGGCTTTCCAGCACCCAAACTGCAGAGATTGAGCCACTGTAGCTCAGAAAAGAAAAATGACCAGGGAATATCCCTGGAAATCTCCAAAGTGTCGTCAGTGGAACAAACCTGAATGATATCACTGAGCACAAGGGCATCGAATCGGGCCAGGTACTGAAGGTGGTATTGCTGAATCACTTTGACGTGTCTTTGGACAAGAGCCCTGACCTCTTCCAGGAGGAAAAGCAGTTCTGCAATGCTCCTGTGATGAAGAAAACAAGAACAGAGACAGGTGTGGGCCAGAACCATGAGTAGGGACACACAGCCATACAGAGCAGGAACTGAGCCTCCCAGGGTCATTTGATGCCTCCCTGTTCCCTTATCCCTGTCTAAGGACAAGGTTCTTAACTGAGTACTAACGAGTCAATGTAATCCTCGGGTGTCTTTGTCTTGGTAACATTTTCTGTATGGCGAACCAGCCAGGTGACCTCATCACGAATGAAAGACAGGGCCATGAAAGCAAAAAGAGCCTAAGAGAGGACCGAGACCGTTAGAATGTTCCACTTAAAACATGGACTTTAGTGTGGGGCTGTAACTCAGTGGTACAGTGCTTGCCTGGTATGCACAAGGCTCTGGGTTCAATCCCCAGGACAGAAAAAAAAAAAAAAAAAAAAAAAAGGCTTTAAAGCCCAGAGAAAACTATTGCGACTAATCCTTATGCGGATGTAATTGTGCAGCCACACCAACAGCATCTGATGACAAGCATATCAAGCCTGCAGAAAGGTTCCACCACATGACCCAGAATCTGACATGCATGTGTTGGCCCTGGCTCACAGGTAATACCCCTCCTTCCTTCCTTCCTTCCTTACAAAATTAAATTTTAGAAATACTTAATGGGGGGGCTGGAGAGATGGCTCACGGGTTAAGAGCACTGAATGCTCTCGCAGAGGACCCGGGTTCGATTCCCAGCACCCACATGGTAGTACGAACTGTCCTTAACTCCAGTTCCAGGGGAATCCAAAGCTGTCTTCTGACCTCAGTGGCACTGCATGACACATACATGCAGGCAATACACTCATACACATAAAATAAAATTAATAAAATATTTGAAGAAAAAAAAGAAATACTTAATGGATATTTATGTGGCTTAAAACAGAAAGCAAGCTCTGTCATCAATTAGTTTACTCAAATAAATGATAGGCCAACTACACAAATAGCTATTAAATAATGTGCTTTGATAATGTCAAAGAAAGACATGTAAAACATTCGGAAATTCTCAGAGTCATGGAATCAGCAGAGACACATACAAACTGATCACAAGAGACTTGAAAATAGGGCTGGAGAGCTGGCACAGTTGGTAAAGTGCCTACCACAGAAGCATGAGGATCAGAGTTCATCTCCCAAAACACACATGAAAAAGCCATGTACGGTGGCCTGCACTTATAATCCCAGTGCTCAGGAGACATTTGGATCCCTGGGGCTCATCAGCCAGCCCAGAAATGCAGCATCTCATGAATGACAAGTCACTCCCCACAGAGACATTGGTCATCACGCCCTCCCAACAGTTCTCTTGCCTTAGGACCCAGCAGCCCTGGCTCATCATTCAACACGGTCTCCAGCTCCTTCACAGCTGTCCTCAGAAACTGCCGTCGTTGACAGTGAAACTGGCCACTGAAAGAGGAAAGTGGAGAATACTGTCCTTCCCTCCCTTATACATCCCCTAGAAGTAGTGCAGAAAAGAGCTGCATTTAGGAAGGGGTGTCAGGCAGGAGGAAGGCTCCATGCTACACTTCGACTTGAGAGAAAATACAAGCTTAGATAGGGTAACAACAGGTTCTTGGGCTGAGGACGCAAATCTGTACAAGAACTCAGTGTGGCTGCAGTGAAAACAAGTCTGGGGGTTCCTATTCCAGCCCCCTCGGAGCCCACACCCCACCCTTACCTGTTTGCAATGACATGTTCCTTGCTTTCTTTGATGTCCGCCACTCGCTTGCCATACCTGAGGATTGACAGGAGCACAGCAGGGTTGGCCATACCACCAGTCTACAGGCTACAGGAAGCATAGCCAGCCCTCACAAGCAGGCTCTTTCAAGCACACTTCTCACCCTGGTCTATGCAAACAAGACTCTGAGCTTAGAGATCATCCATGCTTCATTTTGTGAAGATAATTCATGTAGGAGCAGCACGAGGTTGTTTGATCTTGTCTGTTTATTCATGTGTTCTTTCATTTGTTCATTTGTTTATTTGTTTTTGAAACAGGGACTCACTATGTATCCCTGGCTGGCCTTGAACTCGCTATGTAGACCAGGCTGGCCTCAAACTCAAGAGATCTGTCTGCCTCTGCCTCCAGAATGCTGGGATTAACAACGTGCACCCCAACCACGTTCTGATGATGCCTGCCTGTCATCTCAGCACTCAGGAGGCAAAGGCAGGAGATTCGCAAGTTTAAGACCAGTTAGGCATATATACAGAGTCTCTTGTCTTAAAAAACAGCCAAAAAAATTAAGAAGCAGAAGGATGGAGGGGAGGAAGAAAAGAAAGGGGAAAAGAAAAGAGGAGAGGAGAGGAGAAGAGGGGAGGGGAAGAGAAGAAACTGGATAGGATGGGAAGGAAAGGACTTGCCAAGGTCAGTCATTTTAGCAGCAAGGATGGGCTGAACCTCTTCTCACACTGTGCTCCTGCCTTCACACCTCCCAGTCAACCACTCTTCCAGATTTGGGTGGGATGAGGAAAGGGGGCCCACAAATTCCACACCACTCCTGCTCCCAAGTACAAGTGTTACTCAGGCTGTACCACAGGCCCATCCCCACCCACTTTCCCTTAGAACTTAACTCACCAGTTATCTGTTACTTTCATCTCTCCCTCTCTGCTGGCTTGTTCACCTCTCTGAACAAACAAGTTCAAAGCCTCTCATATTCTGAAAACCCTTACTTGACCCTGACGGACTGAACTTCGCCCATTCTCCCACACCACCAGCTCCTCCTTTCCCTTCCTCACCTCTCATTGACCCTTGAATCCCACAAGGTCCTTGACACTTAACAAACTGCTCTCTCTGAGGTCAATGTGAACTTTTGAATCACCAAATTAAATAACCTTTTGACTGCTGCGGTTTGTCTGCAGTGTTTGACCATCTCTTTTCCAGTAGCAACCTGCGCTCAGAATCCCAGCAGTAAGTAGACTGGCCTCTGAGTTTCATGCCATCTTTCATCCTCTGTCAGCTGCTGCCACATTCAGAGGATTTTATAACCGCTCATTTCCCTTCTCCAAGCCACTCCTTCACAGAACTTAGCATAAAAATCAAAGACATGAGACAGCTTGAGAGGGTGGGTTCTGGCCTTCATCAGTGTAGCAGCTGTGATCTCAATAGACCACCAGAGAGTGCTGGTTCTGCCCTCCCTCTGGCATAGGGACTGAGAACGCAGGGGACTGCCTGAAAGCTCCCGGATCCTGCCTCCCAGTGGTGATAAGAGTTAAAGCAATTTGGGAGTCTTTTAGATAGACCCACTGACGGGGTACCCCAGTTGCCTCACCCTGCGTCCCTGTTCAGCATGGAAGAAGCCAGAGCGGTCTGCGTCCCTATTCCCTACTGGCAATTTGGGTAACCCCTTCAGAGGATGGCATGATAAGAATAAGAGGTAGGAATTGGCTAGGCAGTTAGGGTAAAAAGACCCCAAAGAAAAGTAGACAGTTTCTTGGCTAAAAGTCACAATGTCCTTGGGCCGCTTAACAACATATTCCATTCCAAAGGCCAAACATGTCAAAAGCATTTGGGAGCTTGTATCTAATCATTAAAAGATTTTAGGGTTACCTCTTCAGAGAGGGTAATGTTAGAGTAGCAAAAAGCCCCATTAAAAAAAAGAAGAAGAAGAAAGAGTACATGAAGTTGTCAGGAAAAAGTGATGGGGAGATACGGGAGGAGTTGGAGGGGAGGGAGTGGGCATGGATTTATCAAAACACCTTATATGCATGTATGAAATTCATGTATTCAAAGACATTTGGAACTGAAAAATATCTCAATTAAATCAGGGTTCAACTCTACAGTATTACTGGTGGATAATTATTTCAACCTCTACACAGTACAGGGGAAGGACACAGGATTATGAGTCAAAAAAAAATCTAGAACTGCTTCATAATCCCACCTCTTATTAACTGAGGGACATTGAAACAGAGCTTCCTGTCTTCTCTTTTACAAGAGTATATTTATTAATAATTACTAAGTTATCATGAAGATAAAATCAGATCATTTAAGTCAAATAACTTCCTAAACAATAAATCATACATATTAGCTGCTGTTCTTGGTAATGGGGAACTGAACAACCTTCCATCTCATTAGAATATGTCTTTATATATATACACATATGTATATGTCTTCATATACATATATATGACCATTTCCTATGACTTCTAATTATTAATCATCAACTTATTTTCTTGTTTAAAAATGACTTTTTATTTTGTTATTGTTTCTTTGTTCTTTAAGATTTTTGTTTGTTTTCTCCTTTTTTTTTTTTTTTTTTTTTTTTTTGAGACAAGGTCTCCCTGTAGCCCAGCTGACCTGAACTCACTATGTAGACCAGGCTGGCCTTGAACTCACAGAGATCCGCCTGCCTCTGCCTCCCAAGTGCTAGGACTACAGGTCTATTCTCCTTTTTGGCAATTTTTTTACATTTATTTAATGATTTTGGGGGCTGGGATGAACATGTGCCATGGCTTACATGTGGAGGTCAGAGGACGGCTTTCAAGAGACACTATTGTCCTTGCAACATGGGGATTCCGAGGATGGAGCCCAGGTTGTCAGGCTTCACAGCGAGTGGCTTTACCTGCTGAGCCATCTTGCCATCTTGCTGGCCCTTTGACAATTTTTTTTTTTAACACTGATCACACTCAGTTGTTGAGGAACCACTATTCTTGTATATTGTGTTTTGTTATTATGGGGTTATTCTTTTGTGTCTTTAAAATGCTGGGGATGAACTTCAGGAGCTTGGGCATGCTATGCAAGCACTCTAACACTGAGCCACATCACCAGCCCCTCATATATTGTTAATAAGATAATCTGGAAGAGGGCAGAATCTGGTAAAAACTATTAAAATATGGGTTGGGGATATACTCAGTGGTAGAGTACTTACCTAGCATGTGAAAGACTCGGGTTTGCTCCCCAGCACTACCAAATAAAAGAAGGAAGGAAGGGAGGGAGGAAGGGAGAGAGGAAGGGAGGAAGTTTGAAATGTATTTGTCCTCCACACATCTGAGAATTTACCCTACAGAAACATTTGCATGTGTTCACAAAAAATATATGTCCCTGGATGTTCATTATAGCATTTGTTTATAATGATCTTTTAAAATGGAAACAGCCCAAACATCCATCAACAGGAAATTAGGGAGCAGCAAGTAATAGTACTTGCTGTGCAAGCTTGGCAACCTCTGATCCGTGCCTGGAACTCAGGTAAAAGTGGAAGGAGAAGACCAACTCCACAAAGCTGTTCTTTGACCTCCACTACACAGCGCGCACACACACACACACACACACACACACACACACACACAAATAATCATTTTTTACATTTTAATAAATATAGGAAATTGGAATCTGGACATGGTGGTGCACACCTTTAATCCCAGCACTCGAGAGGCAGAGGCAGGTAGATCTCTGTGAGACTGAGTTCAGTCTGGTCTATATAGCAAATTCCAGGCCAGCTGGGTCCCAGGGAGACCCTGTCTCAAATATATATGCATATATATGTGTACATATATGTTTATATATATGTATATATGTGTGTGTATATATTATGTATATGTATGTATATATATACATGTATATATATATATGAAATTAGATAAATAGGGACTGGAGAGATGGCTCAGCAGTTAAAAGCACTGACTGATCTTGCAGAGGACCCCGGGTTCAATTCCCAGCACCCACATGGCAGCTATGAACCATCCTTAACTCCAGTTCCAGGAGAATCAAAGGCCCTCTTCTGACCTCCGCAGCATTGCACGACATGGATGCACTCACATACATGCAGGCAAGACACTCATACACATAAAATAAAAATAATAAATAAAATATTTTAAAAGTTATATAAATAATGTTAAAAACACATAATGGAATATTGTTCAAAAGAATAAGTCTCAGGGCTGAAGAGATGGCTCAGTGGTTAAGAGCACTGACTGCTCTTGCAGAGGACCCAGGTTTGAATTCCAGCACCCATAGGTGGCGGCTAACAACTGTCCCTAACTCCAGTTACAGGGGCTCCAATGCCCTCTTCTGACCTCCACAGGCAATGCATGACACGGGTGCACTTACGTACTTGCAGGCAATACACTCATACACACAAAAGAAAAATAATAAATAAAATATTTTAAAAAGTAGACAAACACACATTGAAAAGTCTCAACAGAGTGTGGTTGCTCATGCCTGAATCCTAGCACTCAGGAGGCTAAGGCAGGAGGATTGCCACAAGTTCCAGACCTGTTTCAAGCAAATAACAACAAAAAGAGAATAAGTCTCTATAGACTGATATTCGAAGATATATAAAACACAGTAAAAAAATCTGTAGGTATGACTGGACACTGATTTCTTTGATATGCTGAATAAGATAATACCAGTAGTGTTCTTGGTAACCACTTTTTTTATTTTGTTATAAATTTTCTAATAAAACTTTTAAAATGACTAAATAACTAATTTTTGAAAAACTGGTGTGGTGGTGCCCACTTTTATTCCCATCATTTGGGAGGCAGAGACAGGTGGATCTCTATGGTCTACATAGTGAGTTCCAGGCCAGCTGGGGCTACAGGGAAACCCTGCCTCAAAACAAAACAAAACAAAAAACTGCAGATATAATGTAGACTGTGGATCCATGACTTTTCAAAAACTTATATAAGGTTGAAAATCCATGCACATTTTTGTGCATGTACACAGACACACACACACAGACACAGACACACACACACACACACACACACACACACACACACGCACACACACCACAGGAAACTGTTCTGGAAATGAGGTTCTGTATTTCTCCTGTTTCTAGATGTTTACTTGCCACTGGAAATAAATTAAAGAAATCTGACCCTCCCTTCACTATCACACTATTTAAATGAGTTTCTTTTCTCCTAGTTGCTCCTAAACCCACAGACCCAGCTTTCAACTTCACCTCTCACTGGAGGCTGTTCACACAAGGGCACTCAAATGACCTTTGTAGCCAAATCTGTGAGCTTTTCCTGTCCTCATTTCAGCATCCTCTAGCAGCTCTGGGTCCTTCCTTCTCCAGATGCTTTCTTCCCTGGCCTTCTCCCTCTTCTTCTCAATGTCCCTGTAGGTTTCCTTGCTTCTGCTTGGCCCTTAAATATCAATATTCCCAAAAGGGCTGCTTCCTCGCTTCACAAGTTCTGGAGCAACCCCATCTATTCTGGGGGTTTTGATTACCATGTCATTAACTCTCATCCAGTCCAGACCTCACACCTCTCAGTTCCTTGATCACATAACATAAAGCCTGACACCTAGCCTGGATGTCCTCAATACATTTCAAGTTCAACTTGTTCAAAACTGAATCCAACACCCAGTGTGGTGGCACATGCCTTTAATAGAACTCAGGAGGCACAGGCTGGTGGTTCTCTGTGAGACTGAAGCCAGCTTCATCTACATAGCAAGTTCCAGTCCAGCTAGGACTACAGGGAGACCCTGTCTCAAATAGACCAAAACAAAAATCAAAACTGAATCTACAACCTTTTCCTACAAACTTACTTTAGTTCACATGTTCTCTACCCTAAGGAATGCCAGATGCACATTCCAGAAATCTTGACAGCTTCAGTTCCTCCTAATTTACTTATTCCCTGCCTCTAGTTTTGCCCATCTGATCTTTTTCCCCAGAGCAGCAATCTTTTCTAAAATGCAAATATGATCGGTTCAAATGCCTTGTTTGAATTCATTTGATGGCTCCTGACCCTCTTAAGGGCAGATTCAAACTCCAAGACAGCATACACAGCTCAACTTACTGGTCCAAAACCAAGTTTCACAGCTTTACCTTTGTGGCCCAAGCTGTCCCAGCTCTGAGCACATGCTCTCTTGCCTCAAAAGTTTGAGTTTCTCTACCTAAAATACAAGCTCCAACTGTTTCACTCATGTCTACCTGTCTCCAGGTTTTTGTAGATCTTGCAAGACCAGTGTAAGTGTCCTTTGTGCCCAGAGAAGGGAGATAGAGAAGAGGAAGACAGAAAGCCACCTGAAGTAAGCGTGCAGGTCAGTCACACGGTGGACAAGCAACCACGTGGTAAAAAGGGGGCAGAGAAAGCTTCAGAGAAAGAGTAAGGAAGCCCAGAGTGTTAGGGGAAGCATGCTTAGAACAGAGAAAGAATAGAGTAATTCAGAAAAGTAGGCAGACTTACGAAGCCACGTGGCTGTGGCCATGTAAATAGCAGCCTAATTTTTTTTCTTTTTGAAACAAGATTTCATTGTACAGCCAAGGCTGGTCTCAAACTTATGATCCTCTTGCCTCAGACCATGAAGGCTGGGATCACTGGTATGTGCCACCAACCTCAGCTTGAGACTTCTTTTTAAAGACAAGTACATAACACAATGTACCAGGCACTTTTTATGCACCTACATGTAGGAACTCCATCAATCTTCAGAACCCCAGGGTCAGTCATAAAGAGGTACCACTTTGTTCTGTTGTGGTGGTGGTTTAAATGTAAATGTCCCCTTATCGGCTCCAAGTATTTGGACATTTGTTCCCAGTTGGTGGCACTGTTTGGGGAGGCTTTAGGAGTTAGGGCCCTGCTGGGAGAAGCATGTCACTGGGGTTGGATTTAGAGCATTCTTAAGCCTCACCAGATTTCCAGCCACACTCTGCTTCCTGTGCCTGCTTGAAGATGTGATCACTCAGCTTTCTGCTTCGGCCACCTCTGCCGCTATGCCTCCCCCACCATTAAGGACTCTAATCCATCTAGAATCATAAGTCAAATAAACTCTTCTTTCTATAAATTGCCTTGGTCAGAGTAATTTATCACAGCAATAGAAAAATAACTAATACAGTTGTGGTTTGAAGTTTTGTTTGTTTACTTGGTTGGTTTTGTTTTGTTTTTGAGATCTAGCCCAGGCTAGCACGGAACTCACTATGAAACAAGCCAAGGGTAACCTTGAACTCCTAGTCCTCCTACCTCCACCTCCAGAATGTTTGGATTACAGGTACATACCACCACACCTGGCTGGGAGGTACTATTTTAGCCATGTTTTATAGATAAGAAAATTGAACCAGTGGCATAGAGAAGTTAAATGACTTGCTCAGGGTCATACAGCTAGCAAGTAGCACAGCTTGAATTCAAACCAGGCAGTCTGGTCTCACCATTGATGCTGTTACCTCTACGATAGCTTATTAATCACTGTATCCCTAAAACTCCAGTGAGGCACCTAGCAAAGAGTAAGTGCTCAGTATTTCAAAAGTGAGAACTAACCCTTACCAACCACACTTTGTGGGGGGAAAGGATGATGTTGAAGGGACTATAGCTCCTAAAAAATCAGTTTAGATTTCATATCTCTTACCCTTTCAGGCTGCTGAACAGGTCCTCGGTGACCTTGTGCACCTGCAGCACATCCTCCCGGATGAGGGTGATGTACAGAGAGCCCTGCAGACACAGCTTCCACAGTTTCTGGCACTGGCTGTTGGAGTTGAGGCACCCGTGACAAAGAAGAAACCCCACTGCAGGTGGGTAAAGCACAGAGGAAGGCCTTTAGAGGACGCTGTCCTTTGGGATGCTGCCGTGCCCTTTCCCAGCCACTCCCACAACTTACTTATGATCCATCGCTCCATCACCTCCACGGACAGATACTCACAGGCCATCTACAAGAAGACAGGCAAAGAGGGCCAAGCAGATGTTTAGGAGTTCTAAAGAAAGGATAGGGCTGACAAGATGGTTCCCCAGGTAAAGGGGCTTGCCATCAAGCCTAACAACCTGAGTTCAAACCCAGAACTCACATGGTGGAAGGAAAGAACTGACTCACACAAAGTTGTCTTCTGACCTCCACACATGTTGTGGCCCAACACATACACACACACATACACACACCAAAATAAATTAAAATGTAGTAAAAGGGGCTAGAAAGAGCACTAACTGCTCTTGCAGAAGACCCAAGTTCAGTTCCTAGCACCCACATGGTAGCTAGTCATCTATAATTCCAGGATTTGACACCCTCTTCTGGCCTCTGTGGGCACTGCACACACATGGTACACTTACATACATGCAAGCAAAACATTCATACACATAATAAAAATAGATAAATAATAAAAATGTTAATGTAACACAAATTTTGGGGAAGAAAGGTCAGGGTAGAACTCATGTGTAGTATGCACGAGGCCCAGGGTGCAATCCCTGGCATTAAAAACAAAGAAACAAAAAGAACTTTTCTTTAACCAGACTGGATTGGGGCGCTTTGATGAGCCAACAGCTGGGAAAGCTGTCAGTGAAGAAGGGGCAGCCCTGGGAGGGGAGTAAATGTGTAGGACCCAGCTGACAGGAGGGACAGGTTGGGCCGACAGTGAGGACAGACAAAATGTCTCACATAACCTTTCATCAACAGTGAGATCCTTTCACTAACGGGAGAAAGTCTCATCTCACAATATCATCTCTTCCTCTTTGGGTTCTTTAATCACACTTGAAACATAAATCACTGATTTGGAACTTATCACTGATCTTATACTATTAGTTACATTTGTGTGTGGATGCACACGTGTGCAGGAGCACATATGTGCAGGTACATGTGGAGACTAGAGATTAACATCAGGTGTCTTCCTCAATCTCTCTCCACCATATAATTTTTTTAAATTTTTAATTAATAAATAAATATCTTGAAAGTTTTTGATACCTGGAGCATTTTTTTAAATATTTTATTTATTATTTTATGTGTATGAGGGTATTGCCTGTGTTATGTAAGTGCACCAATGTCATGCAGTACCTATGGAGGTCAGAGGAGGGTGTTGGGTCTTCAGGAACTGGAGTTACAGATGATTGTTAGCCACCTTGTGAGTGCTAGGAATCAAACTCGAGTCCTCTGCAAGGGCAGCCAGTAAGTACTCTTAACAACTGAGCCATCTTTTCAGCCCTTCCACCGTATAATTTTGGGACCCAGCCTCTCACTGCAGCCAGAACTTACTGCCAATTGGCTAGACTGGCTGACCCGTGAGCTCCAGAGATCTATCTACCTGTCTCTGTCTTTCCAGTGCTGTAATTACAGGCACAAGCCACTGTGCCCAGCTTTCAAGTGCGTGCTAGGAATCTGAACTCAGGTCTTCAAGATTGCATGGCAAGAAGTTTTGTGTTTTGTTTTGTTTTGTTGTTTTTTTTGGTCTTTGGAGAAAAGTTCTTGTTACAGCTCTATAACCCGGCTGGCCTCAAACTTGTGGCAATCCTCCTGCCTCTGTCTGCTGAGTGCTGAGACAACAGGCATGCCCCCACCATGCCCTGCCAGCTGTATGTCTATGGTATATTTTCATTTTTGCACTGTAAGTTAAGAGAAGGCATTTGAGACCACAGTAGCAGAGTAGTTGAATAACAATATTCATTGGTGAATTGACTCCTAATGACTTTGTTTCTTTTTTGGCTGATTGGTCGGTTGTTTGAAACGCGTCTTGCTATGTAGCCCTGGCCTGGTACTTGCTACGCAACCATGGCTGGCCTTGAACACACAGCAGTTCTTGCCTCAGCTTCCGAAAAGCTGGGATTACAAGCATGTGCCACCACACCCAGCTGACTCAGTGTTATACAGTCATTAATTCTACAAATACTAACTAAATTCCTGCCATGAGCAAGCACACATTGAACATGGTCTAATCAGAAGCTCTACACCAATCATGACTTTTTAGCTACAAGAAGAGAGAAACCTAAAGGCACACCCTAGAAGAAAACTAAAACATTTTGGGTTAATGTTTCCTGAAAGGGGCACCTTCCATGGACAGGGGCTTGGCAGAGAATGTCTCTCCTAACAGAAGAAAAAGGGAACTCACTGTGTCTGAATTGGCAGGGTTAATCATGGCTGGGGGGCTGCTGATGAGACTTAGAAGCTGGGCACTGCGCCACTGCTCAGCCCCCTGGTTCCTCCGAGCAAAGAGGAAGTGCAGAGAGAGGAGGGCTCCACTCACGGCCTGTGGGGAAAGGCAAATAAACCCTCAATGTCAAAGATGGAAATGAATGCCTCTGCCTAAGAGATTCTCCACTCTCAAAAGGAGCTTGCCTTTGTATGAGGCCCAAATTCTTCCGTCAGCTTCTTCAGAGGATGGTCATACTCCAAGACCATCTGACCCAGGCGAGCAAAACTGGGGTCACTGGAGGAAAGCAAAGGAGAGAGGAGTTCCAGGCCTTTCCATGCATATGAAAGCCTAGGGTGACATTCCCTACCACCTTCAAAGACAGGTACAGTAACCTGTGAATTATTTATGCCAATGCCCACTGCAGGCTTTGGTGCACTAAGCTGCTGTTAGAAATAACCGTACAATTTTGGAAGGGCCCATGAAAGTTTCTTCTTTTCAAGCTAGATTCATAATAAATGAAATCTATAAATCTGCATTTGCTAGTCAATATCAAGTAATACCCCTGGGCCCAAATCTCTGAGCCATCTAAAAGGGCAACTAACTAAGCATTCAAAACTAGCAGATACGGCCTGTGCCAGGACATCTATACAAACATGGAGGAATTACATCACACACAGGACATCATGCTGTATCCCTCTCTTATCCTGGTCTTTTTTCAACATTTAAATACTTACATTTGCATTAATGAAGGGAGGACAGAATTGTAGATAATCCAAAATTCATATCTAGTTGGCTTCCACTGTATCCCTAATATGTATTATCTTACATTACTTATTTCTCATGGCTTAAATTTATTGGTATTAGTCCTACCAATATTAAAAAGAATTGTCTTTGCCTTTATAATAACCTGAAAAGCAAAGTGAAAGCCAGGCTGGGATTAAAAATAGATCTGATATAATACAAAGTGGATAATCCACTGGCAGAGACTCAAGAGTTAACTATGCAAGTCACACACTTGCAAATGTGAAAGTGGGCTTTACTCTGCCCAGGACATCATGTGGATTACAGGTTCTCATATGAGAGATCATGGCATTAAGTTCCTTTGTCCGCCTGTTCCTTGAGGCAGCACATGTGAGGCTCTTCATTGCCTTTAACTCACCTGTGCCCATGGAGCATCTCATGGGCACAGTTGTACGTGCCAATGAGTATACGGCGATCCTCAATCCGTGACAAGAGTAAAATGACCGAGGTGTAAGTCACAATCAAGTCCAGGTAACTCCGCGTGAAGTCAAAGTTGAGATTCTGCAAGGAAAATACATAAGAACCCCAAGAGCAGTGTAGTCAATTAATCTGGACCCCCAACCTACTTCTCCAATCATTCTAGACAGTACCAAACAGATACAATTCTGCTAGGAGCAGTAAGTGACAGTACTGAAGACTTAAAAAAAAAAAACTCAGGAGCTAAATATGAGCTCAAGATATAAGGTAAGCCCAACATGGTGACACCGGCCCATTATCCCAGCTACTCAGGAGACTGGGGCAGGAGAATTACAAGTTCAAGGCCAGCCTGGGCACCTTAGTGAAACCCCATCTCAAAATTTAAAAGTAAAAACAAAATAGAGCTGGAGATGTAGGTCAGCACCTCCATACATGCGCTGTGGCACACGTACATCACCTCCCCCACCCACTCACACACATACACATAATAAATTAATTTTTATTTGAAAATAAAAGAATTATAGTCCCGACACAGAAAAAAATTAAACAGCCATTCTTCCAGTCCCATCCTACTGTACACTGTCTCAATTAGACCTGGCCTTTTCTTGAATTCTATTCTACAACAGAAGAAAATCACAGAAGATCTTACGATATCAAAGTGACACTGGCAGGCATCAATGGTGTTGAGAAGTTCATACACATGATCCTGGGGGTAGAAGTGAAGATGATAGTGAAAAAGAAGGTGATTTGTTCTACTAAGATAGGAGGTGAAGGAGCCGCTTTCCTGGAGGCCCGGAGAACCACAGTTAGGGAATAGAGGCATTGTCAAAGGAGGGAAAAAGTTCCTCCTCCGGAAACTGTCAGTGGCTCTGGTTGGGCTACCTGCCAATGCCATGTGTTCACAGGCACAAGGCACTGCCATAGAGTGTACACTGCCCCTGGGCTTATCATTCCTGGGCCTCATTCAGCCACAGGATGAAATGAAACAACTTAGAGAAAAGTCTACCAATTTTTTTGTAAAACTGATACTCTTTATAAAGAACAAGAAGATAGGAATTTAAAGGTTCCCCATATAAAGAAACGATACACATTTAAAAAATAAAAAATAGATGTGTGAGGCCGGAGAGATGGCTCAGCAGTTAAGAGCACTGGCTGCTCTTGCAGAAAACTCAAGTTCGAATTTCAGCACCCACATGGTGGCTAACAACCATCGATATCTCCAGTTCCAGGGGATCTGACCCTCTCCTCTGACCTCCACAGGCATTGTACAACATGGGGGATGTGCTTACATACATGATACTTATACACATAAAAATAAAAAATAATTAAAATTTTAAAAATGAATAATTAAAAATAAATTAACAGGTGAATCATTGATACACAAAATAACATAAATAAATCTCAAAACATTATGCTGCATGAAAGAACCCAAATACAAAAGAATGATTGTAAATTAGACTCTGTTTACCTGAACCTCCAGAAAAGAAACATCTGTTCTAGAAAGCAGATGAATAGTTGCCTGGACCAGGAGTTCAGGGCAAGGATTGGCCAGAGGACAAAAAGGCCCAGGCACCTTTAGGTGGTGGAAATTTTCTATCCTTTGCTTGTGGTAGTAATACACAAGAGATATATTTGTCAAAGCTTATTACAATGTGTAGAAAGCTGGCCATGGTAGCACTTGCTGCAACCCAGTGCTCTAGAGGTAAACTCAGAAGAATCATGAGTTAGGCCAGGCTCCTCTCCCTGACTTCACCAATGCCTAACCACAGCTCTCAGTTTCAAGATAAATACTTTCTGGTCCAATTCTCCTTCGAAACTTACAGGCTCCATGTACCCACTTCTCTCTTCATTGTGCAATCTAATAAATGTCCTAAATTGTCTCCCTACGGTTGCCCCAGGACTTCTGAGGCAGCACCCACATACTCATTCATCATTGGAAGAAATTTTAAAATACTATCACAAATATAGATTGCTCAGAGGGCTAAAATGTATATTCTTTCTTAAATATATAAATAATACATGTTCAACATAGAAAAATTAGAAAATTCAAACAAGTTTAATTTCAAGGCTTTGGTGGTATGGTGATGGTGAGATAGTGTATCAGGTAACCCAGGCTGACCCCAAACTCCTTCTGTAGCGAAGGGTGGACTTGAACTTCTAAGCCTCCTGCTTCAACCTACCAAGTGCTAGGATTATAGACATCCACCACCATGCCAAGCTATTAATTATTAGTTTGGGGTTTGGGGCTTGAGGGTTTTTGAGACTGTAGTCCTGGCTTGAGTTTGCAATGATCTTCCTATCTCTACCTCTCCATTGCTAAGACTACAGGAATGAGACACCACCATGCCCAGCAATTAATTAGTTTTCTTTTTATCTTCGTGCGTGTACTCATGTTTATGTGTATGAGTAGAAACAGGCAGGTACCACAATGGGAATGTGGAGGTCAGAGGGCAATCTTTGTAGTTGGTCCCACCTTCCACCTTGCTTGAGACAGGTCTCTTTTTGGTCACCACTGTGTACAACAGGCTAGCTAGCATGCAAGCTTCCAGGGCAGGATTCTCCTGCCTCACCTCCCATCTCACCAGAAGAGCACTGGGATTACAAGTGTGCATTACCTTGTCAGCTTTACTTGGTCCTAGGGATCCAAGCTCCTCCTCACACCTACATGGAAAACACTTTACCCACTGAGCCATCTCCCGGTCCCAGTTTTTTTAATCATCTTTTTTATTTTTTGAGGCAAGTTCTCCCTGTAGGCCCAGCTGGCCTGGAGCACTCACCATGTAGACCACACTGGCCTCAATCTCACAACAATCAGCCTGCCTTTACCTCCCAAGTACAAGAATTAAAGGCATGTGACACCAAGTCCCCACTGTCCAGGCCCAGTTTCTTTATAAATAAATAAATAAATAATAAATAAATAAATAAATAAATAAATAAATAAATAAAATTTTTATTTTATGTGTATAGAGTATATTGCCTATATGTGTGTAAGTGCACCCATGTCATATAATGCCCACGGAGGTCAGAAACAGGTGTCAGATCCCCTGGACCTGGAATTATGGATAATTGTTAGCTGCCATGGAACTTGAACCCAGGTCCTCTGCAAGAGCAGCCAGTGCTCTTAACTGCTGAGCCATCTCTCCAGCCCAGGCCCAGTTTCTTTAAGACCCTCAAAATCCCACCATGAATTCTATGTGGTACCAATCAAAATTCAAAATTTCCAGCCTTCTGAGTTGGGCATGGTAGCATATGCCTTTAATCTCAGAATTTGGGAGGCAAAGGCATAAGGATCTCTGTGAGATCAAAACCAGCCTGGTCTACAGAGCAAGTTCCAGGCCAACTTGGAGCTACAGGGAGACCCTGTCTCAAAAAAATAAAGAAAGAAAAAAGAAAATAAATTCCAATCTTCTATATACGCATATTTATCTATGTAAATACACGTTTTAGAGACACCTTACTTTCAAGCTGTATTGTAATTTGCTCTTCTATTAAACAGTATGTGAAGAATGTCTTTGCATGCCAACTTAAGTAAACATATGTCATCATCTTTAAAAACGCATAGTATTTGTTTACAGGGTACTCTGAACTTTTAACCAAACCTCTGTTTTATTGGCTATACCAATTATCAAGTTGTCACTGTCACAAGCAATGCAGCAGAGTATGTTCTTGCACATAAAACGTTGCACTTCTGTTTCCTTAAGACAATTTCTAGAAATAGAATTACTTCATTAATTTTTCAGATTTTTGAAACATATTATCAACTTGCATTTCAAAATCACTGTCTGAACTAATTTTTAATGTTTTTTAATTTACAAAAGCGTTACATGATTATCCTTTAAAGCCCAAATAAAATATAACTTGTATACTACTGCCATCAAAAGCTTTCACCAAGACAAACCAAGCAGAAAGATATTCTGAAAATCAGCTTGCCTAGACTCTTCAAAACAGTCAGTGTCATGAAAGACAAACAAAGGCTTGGAATTACTATAAAGACTAAGGAGACATAACTAAATCCAATGTGAATATGGGTGACATATTGGACAATAATATTGCAGCAATATTACATCACCTCAGCAAGATAACTGTACTATATCTATGTAAGAAAATATTCTTGCCTTTAGCAGATGTATACTAAAATATGCTGAGAAATAAATGCCATGACATCTGCAACTAAATAAAATGGTTTGGGGAAAAGCAAATAATAAGCAATGTTGCAAATGTTACCAAATACAAGATCCAGAAGAAGAGCAGAAGAATATTTATTACAGAGCTTGACTGCCCCTATCCAAAATGCTTAGGACCCAAAATGTTTTCACATCTTAAAGATTTTCAGATTTGGAAATATTTAAATGTACATATAGAATATCTTGGCGGCATTGACCCAAAACTAAATTCCAATTTCACTTATGTTTCATGTCCTATGTATGTAGCCTAAAGATAATTTTATGCAACATTTTTCTTGTCCTTGTGTTAACTGCTGGCAGTCACATAAGGTCAGATGTGAAATTTTTCACTAGTAAGAATCATGTTGGTGCCCAAGAAGTTTCAGATTTTAGAGTATTCCAGATCTCAGATTTTCAGATTAATGATGACCAACCGCTACATTAGGTTTTTTT